CAAAAATGACTAAATACATGCACAATGAGGTTGCAGAAGCCATTAAAAAGAACTCCTGCTATTTTATTCCTTACAAATACTCATAGCTTTGCTTTAGAAGACCTTCACTGGATTTTATTTTTATTTATTTTATATTAAATATTTTGATGGATTCACTTTTCAAATTTGGAACTGTTTATTGCAGTCAAAATCAGGAAGGATCCATAATACTATTTACTCATTTAATTTTAATGTAAATAAAATTTAAAGTTAACATTTAATTTAATTTTTTAAATGGCCAGATTCCATTGTGTCAAACTATTTCATGTATAAAAACACAAATAAATCCCACGTGCTCACTGTGTGTTTAGTGAGCTATATATACAGTTAAACGTGTGTATGTGTGTGTGCATTTGTGTGTGTGTGTGTGTGTGTGTGTATGTGGACGTGTTTTTAGCTGTTTAATTAAGAAAGCTGTAGGTTTACCAGTGAATGCTCATTACAGTGATATATCCCTTTAAACTGCTCGCCTCCCAGTCGGATAAAAAGTATTACTGTCATCGATTGTATATCAGTAATGAGAAGCGACTGCCTTCCTCTGAGCACCGCTAATAGACTTTGAGCTGAGTAATTAAATGCTCTGCTTAAAAAACTATTTCATGAGATTAATTAGCACACCTCCGACGACTCGACTAGGATGTTGTGTCTTAATAGATTGGAAATGTGTCTTTCTCTCGCTCCGTCATGCTTTTACAGGCTCCCTTGCCGCCACCAAAAACTTTAAGGCCGTGAAAATGAATGGAAATTAGGCTTGAAATTTATGGATGGAAATTTCTGGCATTTTTCTAGATTTGCTCTGCTTTAAAGGGGAAACTTTATGCCTCTTTCCACCAAATACTGTATACATTTCTAGTTTCCCTAAAAAAGTGTTTGTGCAGCTTCAAATATAGCCCACAGGTCATTTATTATAACTCGCATGTGAGCAAAAAGTTGCAATTTTTCTGTGTGTCCCTTTAAATGCAAATGAGCTGCTCCTTTCCAGAAGGGGGCGGAGCCTTTACACATTATCTTGTTAAGTCTGATATCATAGTTTCCGGGTCAAGTTTCTGCATGGTTAGTGGATAAATTTAGGCCCCCTCCTACTTCCAGACTTTGAGCTCACTATATGTTTTCTCTTGACATGTTAAGAGCTGTTCTGCTCAAGGGACGCCAGAAACAACATTCATAGATGCTTTATGCAGCGCCAGACTGACCTCTGCAGCCTGTGATCAGCGATCTGACCTTCATTATCATATCATATCCTGCTCAGCTTGACCATATCGAGCGGGTTAACATTTGACAGTGCGTCTCCAATAGGTCAGCGCTGAAGAGCAGATGGATTACTGTAGTGGAGAGTTATTGATTTCGCTGCATTATAATGCCTTAGCCAGTACGACATTCTGGGCCGTAATTTGACCGTGATGTGGCAGATCACTCGATAAATCTTAGACCAGTTTCCAGGCATGACATCACATCACAGTGTATCCCTTTAGCCAGAAACTTTTACAGCTCCCTGAAGCCGAAAAGTGAATATTTTAAACCCAATACCATTGCTGTGGGTGCTCCGGTTTCCTCCGCAGTCCAAAGACATGTGCTATAGGTGGATTGGATGAATGTAATTGGCCATAGTCCATGAGAGCATGTGTTAATGTGAGAGTGTATGGATGTTTCCCAGTACTGGGTTGCAGCTGGAAGGGCATTCGCTTCGTAAAAAATATGCCGGAATAGTTGGCAGTTCATTCCGCTGTGGCAACCCCTGATAAATAAGAGACTAAGCTGAAGGAAAATGAATGAATAATACTAATAATAGTATAAAGCTAACCTTTTAAGTCTAGCTGCTTTTAGGGTATGTATTTTTAGGTAACTTTCTTATATCTTACAATTATAAGTTAGAAATTCAGAAATTGGCAGGTTTTAACCTAAAATTCTAAGTAAACGTTAAAACTGAGAGATATAAGCTGTAATAAAGTCACCATTTTCTCATAAAGTCAGGTGTGAGAAGATATAAAATGTATAAACAAACAATTGCAAGTTATAAGCTAAACGAATAAAGTAAATAGTGTCGGAATTGTGATTATATATTATCTAAATATTAGTTTTCAGTTGTGACTTGTGAGATGTGAACTCCGAAATGCAATGAAGCTGAAAATGTGAAACAGCCTTTAAACGTGCAATTACAAGAAATAGTTCTGATTAGTTGGTGGTTCATTCCGCTGTGGCGACCCTTGATATATAAGGGACTAAACCGAAGAAAAATGAATAAATGAACCAGTTCTGAAAGAAACGACAGAGTTGGTTGTTTGTATTTTGCAATTTTGAGTTAGAAACCTGCTATTTCAAGTTTATATCTCTAAGGAAAAGTATTAATCAATAGAGATAAATGCAAAATTATGGGACAGAATACAAATATGCAGGAATATTTTTTTTTTCTGCAGCCTAAAACTAATGATTTTGAAATGCTGTTTTTCCAAAAATGGCATTATTTGCTTAAATTTTTGTTATTTATATATATATTTTGGATTTAAAGGGGAACTATTATGCAAAAATTTGCAAGTTTATTTATATAGCACATTTCACACACAATGCTAATTCAAAGTGCTTACATATTATACAGGAATAAAAGATAAGTGTAAGAACATGAAAACTAATAATAACAATGATTAAAAACAGACTAAAATGTGTTAAAACAGGTTATAAAAGAATGAAAAAGAAAAGAAAGAGACAATAGTGGGATCTTTTGGACGTAGCACCGTGCTCATTCAGTAAAAACAAAGCTAAACAGAGTTTAGTGTTTTCAGTCTTGATTTGAATGTGCCTAATGGCATACAGCTGAAGGTGGATTCACCCTACTTTGACTAACCTCTAATTAACTAGTCAACTAATTTCTAGTTTATTTGATCCTAATGATCTAAGGGATCTGTTAGGTTTGTATTCAGTGAGCATATCTGTAATGTATTGCGATCCTAGGCCATTTAGTGATTTATAGACAAGTAATAATACTTGAAAGTCTATTGTGAGTGTAACTAGGAGCCAGCTGTGATGTGCTCTGATTTTCTGGTTCTGGTCAGAATCCTGGCTGCAGTGTTCTGGATGAGCTGCGACTGTCTGACTGTCTTTTTGGGAAGACCAGTGAGGAGTCCATTACAGTAATCCACCCTGCTGCTGATAAAAGCATGAACAAGTTTCTCACTGGAAACAAAGCATCTAATTCTTGCAATGTGTGGTATTTTAAGCTGAAACTTCACACACACACTCTAGGGACATCAGATTTTTATTTTTTATCTTGTTAAAAGGGACATAATAGGTCTCCCTTAAAGAAGACTCGCAAAATCCTGAAAGTATATAATCTTGCAACTATAATAGAAAGTTTTGAACTCTGATAAAATGTGGCAAATACATTTTTATAACAGTGGCAGAATCGTGCTCCCACAGTTTTTGCATCTCTGGTGCAAATGAGTGAGTATTTGCTTATAGGATGTGAATGAATGTTCGTGTGGATAATGGATGTCTTGTGTGCATGTGTCAGCGGAAATGCACTCGGTGACGCTCCTCTCATTGAGCTGATTGGAAATAATGTGCTCCTCATACAGGAGCTATAACAATCCCTGCGAGAGGAAATGAGACAAATGATGAGGAACTGTCTGACAATGAGCCCGGAGCATCTCACCATGCGTTCAGTCCAGCAGCTATTCTGGGCACACACACCAAATTGGATGCTTTATTGAGCTTGTTTTTCCTCATTTTCTGATAAATCTCATTTGAAAACTTGTTTTTCTCTTTGAGTACATCAAGCCTATAATGGACGTTTCTTGCCTATCACCTGTAATGTTTTATTTTTTTGTGTGTATGTTCTGACAATGTGAATATAATGTGGTTTGAATCAGACTGTTGTAATGAACCTCAACCCACATCTCTGTCTGAATGATTAGCTGTTGCGCGACACTAAATTATACTGATATAATTAACAAGAAATGCTCAGGAAATCCAGCGTGGTCATTTTAATGAGGAACGCTGCCAAAAGTGCTATTATAATTAGCATCTTTGTCTTGTTTTGCAGCAGAAATGTTCAAATGTTGTCGGAGCTCTGGCACAGAGGATTTGTTTGCTTTGCTCTGTGTCCTCCAGTAAGGGTTGTGGTCATGTTGTTTTTTTACGCATTCTTCCAAAAAAAAGCAAGTAGATACTATAAAAGTATCGTTAAACCATTCTAAAACAAATTAACAAGGGTTTTAGGCCGGGGGTTTCAAGGTTCTGCTAAAGTTCTGCTATTAAATGCCACAAGGATTGTTCAGCTAAAAGTTTAACTTTAACCATTTACTGATCTTCCAGTTTTTACAGACCTGTATGAGATATCGTTTCCTCTGTTGATCGCTAAAGAAGAATGTGGGTTTACAGTAAGAAAAAGAGAGTTTGCTTCTGGACACTGTTAGCATAGGGCTTCCTGTTGGCACAATGCAGTTTTAGCTGGCATTTGTGGATGTAACTACGTATTGTGGTTCTTGACAAAGGTTTGCCAAAGTAGTCCTGAGCCCATGTGGTGAGATCGCTTATAGATGAATGAGGATTCTTGATGCAGTGCTGCCTGAGGGATCGGGGATCACCGTTGTTCAGCTAAGGCTTGCGCCCTTGTTCTTTACGCACTGAAATCCCTCCAGATTTAATCTTTTAATTATGTTCTGCATTGTTGAAGGTGAAATATCCAAATGTCTTCCCATTTTTCTTTAAAAAACATTGTTTTTAAACAGTTTTATTTATCATTTCCTCATTGTGGCAAACTTGTGATCCTCAGCCTATCTTTGCTCCTAAAGGACTAGACCTTTCTTGGATCCTGCTTATGATTGTACCAAATCATAATTACAATCACCTGTTGGCATCACCTCTTTCAAATCACATAATTGTTTGTAAATGCAACAAAATATTAGTTTATTTTTAAGTTTAGTTTATTAGTTTATTAATCCTAATTCTCTGTGTTCTTTTCCTAGGAGCTTCTACTACATCACACTCTTGCGGGACCCCGTGTCACGTTACCTCAGCGAATGGAAACACGTTCAGCGTGGAGCCACATGGAAGACGGCTCTGCACATGTGTGACGGTCGTCCACCGACCCCTGATGAGCTGCCGGCCTGTTATAGCAGTGAAGACTGGACCGGAGTGACTCTGGAGGAGTTCATGGCCTGCTCCTCAAACCTGGCCAACAACCGGCAGACGCGCATGCTGGCTGACCTCAGTCTGGTGGGCTGCTACAACTTGTCCTCAATGAGCGAAGAGCGACGCGCAGAGCTGCTCCTCAGCAGCGCCAAACGCAACCTGCGCCGCATGGCCTTTTTCGGCCTGACGGAGTTCCAGCGTAAAACACAGTTTCTCTTCGAGAGGACGTTTGGCCTGCACTTCATCGCCGCCTTCACTCAGATCAACGGCACCCGGGCAGCCGGGGTCACGGTTGGGACATCCACGAGAAGACGCATAGAGGAGCTGAACGCTCTAGACATGCAGCTGTACGAGTACGCAAGGGAGCTTTTCTTGCATCGCATTCAGTTCTGCCATCATCAGGAACGGCAGGAGGAGAAGAAGAGGAAACGGCAGGAGCGCAGGACCATGAAGCAACAGAAAACATCCGCCGTCTGGCAACAGGAGGACAACAGAGCAAAGGACACAGTGGGAAAAATGGAGGTAACTGGGGTGACAGAGGACTACAGCAGTCAGGTGGTGAGGTGGTGATTGCATTGTTCTCTGGCTGTGTTCAGAATTGCGTACTACATACTAGCATACTACTCTTAAGGTGTACACGGTGCAAACTAATGCTCAGATGGTTGAAGCTCATAAAATGTGAGAAGAATTCGGACTGTACACACTGTCAGAAATAAAGGTACATGAGCTGTCACTGGAGCAGTACCTTTTCAAAAGGTACATATCTATACCTAAAGGGTCCATAATGGTACCTCAAATGTACTTTTTAGGTACATCTGGGCACTAATATGCACCTTTGAGGTACCACTGTGGACTCTTTGGATACAAATATGTGTCTTGAAAAGGTTCTGCCCCAGTGACAGCTCCAGTACCTTTTTTCTGAGGATGCAGAGCATTCCTTGTCCAAAAGTCATACTTCCGGGTGCTAACCAGGTTTTTTTTAATCTTGCTTACTTTTATGTAAAAGAGAGCAGAATTAATTTGATTAATAATTATGATAATCAAGATTAATATGAGATTGAGCAAACTCCCTTTAATCTTGAAGCTGTTAGCTTGAAGTCATGAGGTGTGCAGTTGAATGAGCCAATCTGTCCATTCTTCTGATTTGACCATTTAGGGAACTGACTGAACAGTGAGCACTGTGTTGTTATATAATGTGTCAGAGAATATAGTTTACAGCAGACAAGCATACATTTAAATGTATAATTTAGACACACATGGTGATCAGGAGTACTGGTTTCTCATTGCTGAAAAAGAACCTGTGTGTTTTGTGTCGCAAACATTCATAGATTCAAATTTTATGCAATTGCTTTGGAATACATAAATCATGTCATATACAGTTAGGTCCATAAATAACTGGACATCGACACAATTCTAACATTTTTGGCTCTATACACCAACATAATCGATTTGAAATTAAATTAACGAGATTTAACTTCAGACTTGAATTTGAGGGTATTAACATTCAAATCAGGTGAACGCTGTAGGAATTACAACACTTTGCATACGTGACTCCCACTTGTTAAGGGTCCAAAGTAATTGGACAGAATAATAATCATAAATCAAAGTTTTGTTTTTTAACACTTGGTTGCACATCCTTTGGAGTCAATTGCAGCCTGAAGTCTGGAACGCATAGACATCACCAGATGCTGGGTTTTATTCCTGGTGGTGCTCTGCCAGGCCTCTATAGCTTCAGTTCCTGCTTGTTCTTAGAGCTTTTTCCCTTCAGTTTTGTCTTCAGCAGGTGAAATACAAGCTCACTTGGATACAGGTCAGGTGATTTACTATGCCGTTGCATAACATTCCAATTCTTTCCCTTCAAAAACTCTTTGGTTGCTTTTGCAGTATGCTTTTGGTCAATCTCAATCTGCACTGTGAAGGGCCGTCCAAGGAGTTCTGAAGCATTTGGCTTAATATAAGCAGAAACTATTGCCCGAAACACTTTAGAATTTTTCATGCTACTTTTATCAACAGTCACATCATCAATAAATACAAGAGAACCAGTTCCATTGACAACCATTCATGCCCACGTCATGTCACTACTACCACCATGCTTCAGTCTGGTACAAGTTGATCTTGACCTCGTCTATCCTTAGGATGTTGTTCCAGCACTGTGAAGGCTTTTTTAGAACTGTAATCTGACCCTTCTGTTTTTGAGGCTCACCAATGGTTTACATCTTGTGGTGAACCCTCTGTATTCATTTTGGAGAAGTCTTCTCTTGATTGTTGACTTTGACACACATACACCTACCTGCTGGATAGTGTTCTTAATTGGTCCACCACAGTTGTTTCGATGGTCTTCCGGGTCTTTTGATGTTTCTGAGCTTACTGGTGCGTTTTTTTCTTTTTAAGAATAATCCAGACAGTTGTTTCGGCCACGCCTAATGTTTTGGCTATCTCTCTGATGGGTTTGTTTTGTTTTTTCAGCCTAATGATGGCTTGCTTGACTGATAATGATAGCTCTTTGGGTCTCATCTTGAAAGCAAGAGATTTCAAATGCAAATAGCACTAACTAGCACACTAACACACTAGAAATGAACTCTGGACCTTTTATCTGCTCATTGTAATTGGGATAATGACGGAACAACACACATCTGGCTATAGAACAGCTTAGAAGCCAATTGTCCAATTACTTTTGGTCCCTTAACAAGTGGGAGGCACATACACAAAGTATTGTAATTCCTACACCATCTACCTGATTTGGATGTAAATACCCTCAAATTAAAGCTGACAGTCTGCAGTTAAAGCACATCTTCTTGTTTGTTTCATTTAAAATTGATTGCGTTGTTGTATGGAGCCAAATATGTTAGAATTGTGTTGATGTCTAAATATTTATGGACCTAACTGTATGTGTAAATGTAAATGATTTTCACATAAACTTGCTCGTGACGTGCTTGTACATGTGATCTTCTGACCAAGAGAATCTGCACTGTGTACATCCAACTTTACTATCTCTGCAGTGTATAGTATAAACAGTAGTAGCTACAATGAGAACTTTTTAACTTAGATTTAGTGCAACACACTCATACGTCTTCTCTTATGTAAACAATCAGCGTCGGCTCATATTTAAGTTTGCATCTATGCATATGTCATTATATGCAAAAAAAAAAAAAAGCTCACACTCAGGATTGTTTGTCGAGGCTGTAGATTAAAGGTAATAATATTGTATGTAGTGTTGGGGAAAGTTGCTATTAAAAGTAATATATTGCAATAGGTTTTAAGGAAAATAATGTGTTATGTTATTTTGGTGTTTTGTTTTGGGTTGGGCTTGTTTCTTTGTAATAATTAAAATAAAAAACTATATTTTTGAGAAACGTGAAGCCCCTAAATGTGAGATGCGAATGAATAAACCTCGGGCTGTAGGAAATGTAAAACCGTGTCTGTAAAGTTGAGGCGCAGATCAGACAAACCTGAACTGCATGAAGAATTATATGCATGAAAAACGTTCCAGTGAAAGTTTGCATTTGGATTTTTACAAGGGTATTGGACAGATTAAATCTGTTTTTATGTGACTGAGATGAGGAAATAGACGTTTAAGCTAGAACTGCAGTAAGTTTCGTGTTAATGCACAACACAATTGAACTTACTCCCGATTTCACTCAACACATGGCAACAAACATCAAACGATTAATGAGAAAACAAAGAAACCACGTCACTTTCTTGAAAATTAAAAGAATGAAGAAAATGAAAACCGAATGAATTTTTTACTAGTTAATTGAAAATAATAATCTGATTACTTAATTAGGGTACTTTAATGTACTTGATCATCTGTAGCGATGTGTATTCATTTTGTTTTGGCTGTATTAAAGAGCCTCTATTATGGGTTTTTGAGAATGACCTTTCATGTAGTGTGTAACACAGCTCTAAGTGAAGTGAAATATCCAGCTAAGGCTTAAATGAAAGTGGACAGTGTTTAAAACTATTGATTCATTTATAAAAGAGTCGACTCATATTGCTTCAAATCAGGGCCGGAGTGGGACACCTTTTCAGCCCTGGAGTTTCAAGCCTCAGACCGGCCCACCTTAGTTCACGACTGACAATATTAAAATAAGGTCATTTCCAAATCAGTTTCTAATGACACTATCACGTCTGTTTTTGAGAAAACAGCTGCTTTAGAACTTCAAATGTTCAACAACCCTTACAGTATTATATGTCTTAACAATAAAAATTAAAACAATAAGTTACTCTAACGAGGATCGAACCTGGGTCTGCGGCGTCTTAATCTAACGTGCTAACCGCTGGACCACATTTGATGTATTCAGGTAGGAGACACAACTGAGTTTTATAATCATTAAAACAGATGAAAAGAGAAGAGTTGCGGTAAAATAAAAATAAAAAGGATGTGGTCAAGTAAATAAATAAATTTAAAAAGTGTGACTGCTGAGAGCAACAGATTCAGGAGCTAGGGACACCGGCCCTCGCGGCCAAAAAACGGACCGGCCCACCGGGAATTCTCCCGGTCCTCCCGATTAGCCAATCCGGGCCTGCTTCAAATGAATCGCCTTGATAGCGAGTCTTTAGCCATTTCGGCGTGATGTTGATATGAAACCTAAGCGCCACCAAGTTGTTGCGCACGCAAACCCTAGGAGCGGGGTTAGGTTCAGGGTGAGATGTCTGAATAACACTCAGGGCTGGAGCAAGTTGAACTGGTGCTCTAGGCGAATGGTGATCACGTCGCCCTCAACCCGTAAGTGAAAAAGAAAGTTTGCGGACGACGCCCTCATCGCCTATGTCGCCTCTATGGTTGCGCCAGCCATTAACATTGGATGGCAACCACATTTGTGTTTCATAGACCATACCTGATCTATGCTGAAATACGGTAGACCCTCTGAAAATACAGGAGTGTTGGCAGGTATGTGTATATATATCAATGGCTACCAGTTTCCAAAATTCTTTCAAATATCTTTTTTGCATCCAACAGATGAAGGACACTCATAAGACTGAAATGATTTGAGGGCAAGTATATGGTTTTCATTTACAGAATGAAAGTATCGCTTGGTCTTTCAGAGGATTTCAGAAGTGTCGCTTTAACATTACCAAAACATATTTTCATGGGTAACTTCAGATATAGTCAGAGAGTAGTAAGCTAGTACTGCATTCTGAACACAGCGACTGTCTGTTTCGGTTGATCTTCATCCACAGGCGACTTGTTTCTGATGGTTAGTGAACATAAGAACATTCGAGGCCATCAAAATGCAAGAAAACAAAAAACTCTGTACCAGCAATTGTAATGAATCATTCTGATGATCTTAAAAACTTGTTTCACTCCACAGCTGATTTGTGATGTCTTCATGTGGAAGATCACGCATAGGACTAAATATGAGTTAAATATCAAGGGAAGCGATCTAAGAGAAGCAACAACTGAATGCTATTTGACTAAAAACGACACTTTTGCAATACCAAACTGCAGTTCGCTCCGTTTGTTCTTCTGTTATGAAAAATCACGTCCTCATTTGTCTACTTGAATCTGTTTGTTTGCTTGTTTTCCTCAGTTTGTATTGAATGTGAGATTGCGAGATCTTACAGATGAAATGAACAATGAGAATGATGATTGCATGGCGTAAATTGATTTGTTTTTCAAGTGTACTTATCGAGTCAAATAAAGAAGTGTCTGAAAAATAATCTGTTTCAATTGCTGTTATAAAACATGATAGGGGCTAATTCGTAATAATCTACAATCTCATTTGTACATCATAGCACAATTTTCTC